CTTGAACTCAATGTAAGTTCATTTTTTCAGTCAATAGTACAATGAAATGTTATTTGAAATGCTTCTCCATTCTGTGATTGAAACATAATTTATATTAGTCTGTTCTACTCTTAGGGCTAATAAGATGTTTTTTGTATATTTGAGGATTGTTTAAGTTGGATCTTTGAATTGAATGTTTATTAATTTCAATTTTCCCCCTAATCCCATCTGTGACTGGGTCACGTGTTCTCATCTTGAAAATGCACTGGTATTCAAGTATATTTTCTCGTAGCTCATTTTGTTGACGTTGATCCTGCCTAGCGGAAGTAATATCAGTTGAACATCTTTTAATAAATTTCTAGCTTCGTACAGATATTTAATATAAGTTTTCTTTTTCTCGTGAAGTAATTTTGGGGAATCTTTACACGTACAATTAAGAAATACCCTGCTTTACATGTTTATATGTGTGCTCGTTATCAAACATTTATTGGAGAATTCTCACTAATAGCCCTGTTTATGCATTAGACAAATCGGAAGTAAATATCGGTTGAACATCTTTTAATAAATTTCTAGCTTCGTAGAGATATATAATATACGTTTTCTTTTTCTCGTGAAGTAATTTTGGGGAATCTTCACACGTATAATTCAGAAATACCCTGGTTTACATGTTTACATGTGTGCTCGTTATCAAACATTTATTGGAGAATTCTCACTAATAGCCCTGTTTATGCATTAGACAAATCGGAAGTAAATATCGGTTGAACATCTTTTAGTAAATTTCTAGCTTGGTAGAGATATTTAATATAAGTTTTCTTTTTCTCGTGAAGTAATTTTGGAGAATCTTCACACGTACAATTCAGAAATACCCTAGTTTACATGTTTACATGTGTGCTCCTTATCAAACATTTATTGGAGAATTCTCACTAATAACTCCATTTATGCATTAGACAAATCGGAAGTAAATATCGGTTGAACATCTTTTAGTAAATTTCTAGCTTTGTAGAGATATTTAATATAAGTTTTCTTTTTCTCGTGAATTAATTTTGGGGAATCTTCACACGTACAATTCAAAAATATCCTGCTTTACATGTTTACATGTGTGCTCGTTATCAAACATTTATTGGAGAATTCTCACTAATAACCCCATTTATGCATTAGACAAATCAGAAGTAAATATCGGATGAACATCTTTTAGTAAATTTCTAGCTTCGTAGAGATATTTAATATAAGTTTTTTTTTTCTCGTGAAGTAATTTTGGGGAATTTTCACATGTACAATTCAAAAATATCCTGCTTTACATGTTTACATGTGTGCTCATTATCAAACATTTTTTGGAGAATTCTCACTAATAGCCCCGTTTATGCATTAGACAAATCGGAATCACATTTGTACTGTATTCCTCTGCCATGTTATTGGAATGAATCCCTATTTTTGCGTCATGATATGGGAGACCTCAGAATTGAACAGTTCATAATTTTGAGTTCTTGTTTTTTACCTGCTAACTTCTGTAGGGCCAGGAAGAAGTGAACATTCAAAACAATCAGTTGCAGGTGCAATAGCTGATACTTATTTAAACTTTTTTCTGCCATTTAATTGTTCGTGCATCTCTCGCTTACTATATGTTACACATTCTTGGAGTAAAGGAACCTGAGGACTACAAAACTTGCAATGCGAACCGGAGGTGTAACGCTAGAAATCAATGTACATCCAATTGGCAATGCCCTCTGATTTATTAGGCCTTGTTTTTAGTAATAAACTTAATATAACTTGTGTATTTTGTAGCTTTGGGCCCTTTACCAATATGTCAACAAGTTGTTCAAAAAGAGGCGGGGGAAAGTAAAAGGTATTTTACTTAATTTGCAAATGAATCAAGTTAATCTAGAAGTGCATGATCTGGATCATTGTGGTTATATGATTGACGTTGATCTTGCTTATCTTATTTTTTTGTCTTGACTGGCGGTGTCTGAAATATTATCATTGTTTAAATTTGTCTTCATGAGAATACAATATGATTATGCTTTACACTGTCCAACAATTAAAATTGTTATTACCTTACTCTCCCTATTCGTCATCTATATTGTCATTACTAACATTTCTGTGTTTTTAATTCAGACGCTGTCTAAGAAGACAATCTGCTAGTTCTAGAATCCAACAGCAGGAACCAAATGAGAATTTGTTTGAGATAGAAGATGTCAAGTTTCCAGTTGCCATGCCTGCAAATAGTCCCGCTTGTGCAGACGGATCACCTCAAGTTTCTTCATCTAACAAGAAAGAAGAGTTTGACCGTGGTCATGACTCTGATTTTGAAACTCAGGAATCACGAAGAACTTCTATTACGAGACCAATGCGAAGAGCAGTCGAAAAAGTTCAGTCCTACAAAGAAAGACCTGTTAACATCAAAATGAGGAGAACTTAATGGTTCGAGTCACATTTTAGCGCATCCATGATCCATAGATGTTAAAAATGGATAACAGGCCGTGAAAATTCTCGCTGCATGTCTCCTGTAATATGATTGCATTTAGATTATGGGATACTTTCCTTTTTCTTTATATTTTGGTTCTGTTTTATCTGTCACTCATCTATAGTATATATATGTAGGGGGCGATTTGTACGTCCCAGCCTTGTTATTAAAAATCGATTATATGTAGAAGTTTCTGTTTAGGATTCCTTGGTCTTTGCAGTGGTAAATGAAACAAAACCCTGTTGCTGACTGAAGTTCTGTTAGAGAATTTCAGTCTTCTTAATATACGGAATAGATATACAGTTTTATTTCAATTGAAATAAATAATAGAACTAATAAGCGAATAATTGACGAAAAATTTACTAATAATCAAACTCACGTCATTAACAAAATTACAACTTAATAGCGTGGATCGCTTTGGACGTGACAGTAACTCAATGCATTTTTTCTTTTTATCTGACAAAGACATATGTCGGAATTTCTGCTTCATTTATTGTATAATTTTCAACTTCCAAATAGGGATTAAGTTCTCAATAACCAGTGTAATGGTGTATAGGGTAAAAAACTATCCTTTTGGAACTTGAAGAAAGAACGGTTGGAGTACCCATAAATTATTCTTGGATATTTCAATAGCCAGAGAGAACAGATGATAATAATAATTGTAAAGGAAGCACCCAGTGTTCTTATAAATAGACCCTGAGTTTCTCATCCAACGTAAGAGACTCAGTGAACAAAAACAAACAAGTATGTCTGAATCCAAGGTAAGTTTGAAGCTTCTGATTGATACAAAAAGCAAAAGAGTTTTATTTGCTGAAGCTGGCAAAGACTTCGTTGATTTCATCTTTCACATTCTTTTATTGCCACTAGCTACTGTAATTAGGCTTATTGGAAAAAATGGGATGGTGGGCTGCTTGGGAAATCTCTATGATAGTATTGAAAATTTGAATGATTCCTACATTCAGCATGGCCAGACGAAGGATGTAGTTTTGAAACCGAAGGTGCAAACTCCCATTACTTCAGTTCCTCTCTTACTTCTCAAAAATAAACCAACTGAGAAGAGCTTTTACGGATGCTCTCATTGTTATACTATTTCCAATATTTCTGATGACCCCACTGTGAAGTGTCCCAAATGCTGGAACTCTATGAAGCAGCAGATGAAATACGTTGCTCCTGCCCGCGTGATCCAGGAGTCGAATGACGGTGGAGGATTGGTGAAAGGAGTGGTGACTTACATGGTAATGGATGATCTGATGGTAAAGCCTGTGTCCACAATTTCGAGCATTGCTTTGCTAAACCAGTTTAATGTGAAAGAAATGGGTGCACTAAAGGAAAAGGAGGTGAACTTTGGGATGAAGGAGGTAGTTTTAGGCAATAAAATGGTTTTTATCTCGATTATTCATAACTTTTTTTATGGTGTTTCCAATTTTAATTCCTTCATTTTTGCTCTCAGGCTTTGAAGCTGTTGAAAGCATCTCTTCGCACCAACAAGGTTCTAACGACTGTGTTCCTGAAGATATCTGAACACAGGAATGCCCTCTACAACCTATTTCTTTCAAGGATGAAGAAGACTGTTAAATCTGAACTTGAAACCTTGTTAGTTTTTCACAAACAGTTTTTGTTTCTTTTTTTCTTTCTTGGATGAAAATGAAATGTTCTTGTGGGTTGTTCTGGTACTATATGCTTGTGAAATGAATGGAATTAAGGTCAAAATACCAAATCAAAATAGAATGTTTCTTTTCTATTCCGAAGAAGTGCATATCTTACTATAAATTTGTCTGACGAAGTGCATGAGGTTCTTTATACATCGGAGTAGTGGATACTACGAAATATGTAAATAAAAAATACGTTTAAATAACTTAATAAATATATATAAGCTTTGCCAAATATGCGCACTTAATATAAATTAAGATAGAAATAATAAAACCAAAAGGTTCATCCTAATTTTTTATTTTTTTTAAAAAAAAACTTGAAGATGAATATTCACTTGATGGTCATTTTGTGACTTGTCTTAAATTGTGGCAATAATATCAAATGACAATTAGTATTTGATGCTATATTCTTCGCATCAAACAAACATGCGCAAAGTCTAAAAATAGATGTTGAATCATGCTACCAACTTACAAGTCAAGTCTTTCATAAATAACAATGGCAGAATCCAATACGACAATGAAATTTCTAGTCGAAACAAAAAGGAAAAAGAAGTTTTATTCACTATAGCTGGAAAAGACTTCTTCGATTTCATCATTCACGTTCTTTCTAAGCCATTAGCTTATGATATTTGGTTACAAGGCAAACAAGAAACGACGGGCTGTTTAGGCAACCTATATGAAAAGCATTGACAATTGAAAAATAATGCTGATCGTGTAACTTACATGATGACATGTGATTTTGTAGTGAAACCTATTTCCTCAGTAACAACTACCTTCGATTTTTTCAACGAGTATAATGTCATAGAATCGTATGACCTTGAAGAAAAGGAGGCAGACATAGGATTGAATGAGGTGATATTAAAAAAATGTCAATGATTCAAACTTCATTTTTTATGATGGTAATCGAATTTGAAATTTTATTTATTTTTTTTCTCAGGCTCGGAAGATGTTGAAGGCATCTTTAAACTCCAAAGACGTTCTAATTCCTGTGTTTCTTGCGGGCGGCTTAGCCAAATTGAAGGCTTTTGGCGAAAACTCATAGGGGGCCTTATTGAAAATAATTAAAGATTTGTTTGAAAAGATTAAATAATATTTATCTTTATTGAAATATTATGTCATTTGAGAAGATTTATTTACTAGTAAGAGAAACAAAGGGCAAAAATATGGGGTTTTCTCAAAATACAAGACGTTAGACGACTGTCTGACTTGTTCAATAGTTGAAATTGACACTAGTGTTTCCAGAAGATCTATTAGTCAAGAAAGTGGTCGAGACTTTACATATCACTAGATTTATATACATAATATATTGCATTTTGTTTGATTGATAGTGCAATATCGTTAAGTTAACATTGAGATAAAAAGATAATTTCTGCCAAATAGGAAGCCAACGTGCTCCTATAACTAAATCACACTTAAGACATGTCTTTGTTTCTTTTATCTCTATTATTTGTTGTCTTTATTTTAAGTGATCCTCCTCATTTTCGATATTCTTAAATTGTGGAGAATCGGTGAGAAAAGTAACACATCTAAATTTTTTTTACCATTTTCGTGAGATATGGGTACTTACGAAACAGAAAGCAATTATTATACTGTGTGACTTGGGGCACGTTTGGAAGTTGTTTATAATCAATTTAAAGTTTAATTTAATAATATTTAATTAAATTAAATATATCATCATAGTCCTGTCAATAGAGGTCAAAAGCTACCTCAACTGATAAGAGAAAATATTATCAGGTAATTGACATGATTTTGAGTCTCTTTGGTGGGTCAAGGTTGGGATGTCAACGAACTAAACTTAAGGCTCGGGCTCGACTCAAGTAAAATAGTACGAGCTTTTGCTTGGTCAACAAATTTAGGCTCGACCCAACCTTTCTGCTTGGGCCTTGCCCTGCTCGCCCCCCCCCCCCCCCCCCCCCCCCCCCCCCCCCCCCCCCCCGCCCCCCTCCNNNNCTCAAGGCAGCACTGTGTTGCCTTTAAGCTTTTTTATTAAAGGCTCCTGAGCCCCAGTTGGTGAGTCACACGGGTCAGTTCAGACTTTTTTCGGATGGAGCCACGGGCGACCCAAGTCGATAAATCCAATTATCATATCTTGTCAAGGGTTATATTCAGCCCTTGTTTGAGCCTCATTTTAAGAGAAAGAATGTATTTTTAAATAGTGATTGATGGAGAATGTGAGATTAAAAATTTAGGAAAAAAATTGGATTTGTGTGTGATATTATTTTATTAAAGAATATGTGATTAAAAATGAGTTTTGAAAAAAAAAATGAATTTTGAGAGGAATGGGTTCAAACAAGGGCTCAATAAAATTTATAATCTACTTATTATGCTTTGATGATATGTAATTGCTTTCTATTATGAAAAACTTGAACAAAAAATTAAGACAAATAAATAAATAATATAAGACTTATATTATTTTTGACAGTCCATCAATATTTTGTGTTTTTGTTTAATATAAAACTATTGATAAAAAAATTTATTTACAAATTATGCTTTTTTGCCCTTTACATTCAATCAATCAAATGATAGAATGGTGGTTATAACTTATAATAACATTACATTTTTCTTAAACTAATGAGGAAAATGTGCGTTGCACATTAGTTGATGAATGTTAAATATAAATGTATGGTAACTGTAAATGGACATACATGACAGTTCTTAAAGAAGCAATCAATCTAACAGTAGTCAATTTCCTTCAAACTTGCCATAGAAATATTAAGAATACAATTAAATAGGTAGAAATTTAACCTTGGAATTACATAAAAAGGGGCACTCAAATATAAATTCTCCATGGAGATTATATAAAAATGGCTCTCAAATATGAATTCCCCATAGAAAGAGAGTGAATTGATGGATCCAACTGGAACTTCTACTAAAACATACTCTTAGTGTGCTGAATAATTATAACACTCACCAAACAAATGTCATGGCCTAACGAAGGTGTAATAACTCGAAAGAAATGGTATGGTAGATCGATTTCACACAACATAATATTTCTACTACAACAATAAGGGTATTTATTAAACTCTTAGAAGCAATTGGAAATTAAATTTTTTTTCCATACTAATCATTGTCTAAAAATGTAAAATCACATTGTAAAGTAATGTAATTCTAAAGAATAAAACTCAAATGGCTTAACTAACAATCTCATTTAAAATGCAAAAAGTCGATGAAAAAAATACAATTAATGATTAGTTTTTTTAACAAGTGGATGGAAAGTAAAGCAAACTAATTAAGAGCATTAAGCATATGGAACACTACGAAACACCAAATTTGAACTCAAAATTATAAGAATGATGGATGAGCAATAATCAAATCTTCTTGGACGTAATCACTTTTTTTCCTTCTCATTGTTGTAGCAGTCATTTGAACCCCATGACATTCTAATGTTGTTAAACTAAAAGAATGTGC